AGAGAGAGAGAGAGAGAAATTACAAAAGAGAAAATACATGCAATTAGCACGACTGGTTAAATTTCAGGCGACAAATCGACCGCGCATTGACCATATTTTCTTCATATTGGCGCAATTGGCCGCCATCGCGAGCATCAAGTATTTATCGTGCCGAAAAATTGCGGATTTGCGCTCGGTGGCGAAAATTGCACGCTGTTTGACCGATTAACAGATTTCCGGCTGCGCTGAAATCAATTCCCACGATGAATTCGACGAATTTATACGTGCTGCTATGGAAAAAAAAGTTTTCACGCCGTTTTATCATCTCGCGCGTACCGTTCTGAATTCCTCGGAATATCGAGGCGCAGAATTCGTGCGATGAGAGTAAGCCAGACTGACGGCGGCGTCGGTTGCGGCACGTAATGAAATCCAAATAACACCCCTAGTAAGCGTATATCATCGTAACAACGCTCCGGCTCGACGGTTACTCGGCTGGTCGTCGTCCATAAATTAATACGAAGCGCGTTATTTACAAGGATTACAAGGGTGTTCCGTTCTCGCGCTCTCGCCTTGCCTGCGCGCCCTGCCTATTCTAATTGCGGTCAACTTCTTTCGCCGCTTCTTCATCGAGATAAGCTGTATTTGGAAGAGGATACTAGAATATACGAGAAAATATTAGTAAATATGCGATCCCGTTAGGTTGTATCTATTTTTATCTGCAAACATTTTCATATTTTCAACCCAACCAATATCATCGTGCTATTAACTTTTAACGTTGCTTTTGTTCGATCACACAAAGAGTTATGTACAAATATTTAAAAATAGAAAAAAAGGAAAATTTTAAAAAGAAACAGTTTATAAAATTTGTAGCCCTGATATTTCAATTTATAGATATTGAACTTTTATCTCTCAAAAGATCTGAGCTGCATTAATTTCTTCAATAACAGTTAATTATAGTTTTCTTTCTCAACAATCAAAACAGTAAAATATTTATTATATTTAATTTTTAATATAAAATGTTTACATATTTTACGAAAAATTCGTTATCTAACGATAGTATACAAAATGAGCTACCTGATAATCTCATTCGAGAATTTTGAGTTTTAGATATGCTCTCAATATTATTTAAATTTCGGTGGAAAGCAACAGCGAAAACCCAAGAATATATTTCCTAAATTGCTTTAACATAAATTTACATCCGTATGAAATTCACGCGCAGTCAGATTTCAACTGCAATGAATTTCGTTCCTGCAGATGAATAGAAGTCGGCGCATTGAACGCGCTCGCCACGCCATTTTGGCGAACCGATTCGCGTGCATATCTTATTTCGCAAATATCAAAAATTATGTCTGTATCGAAAAAGCAATATGTCGGTTGTTAGCAAAAATATATTCTCAAAAATCTACGTTTTTTTTTTTTAATTAAGCCTATTAATCCAGCTGTAATAAATAATAAAGGTTTATAACGGTGTAATTAGTTTCCGCGCGATATTGCCTTCCACTTTTAATTATATAAAATTACCGGGAGAGATCATTATCAACAATAATAATCGTTAGGCTTCTTATGCGAGTAGGCGTAGGATTCGCGTGAGTTTGCACGATCGCAACGCTGATGGTTTAATCCAGATGCGTATGCTTTTCATGACGGACAGCCGTACATCTTGCGTTCTTACACGTACGTATGTCGCGCAGCCCGTGCGGCAGGTGATTACACACATATGCATGCGGCGCCACTACGGTCGCCACGCTAATGCACCTCACGTAATTATCCCGAGCCGGACGACGCTCGTAGTCCTGACTAACTTCTGCACCGCGAGTAATCCTCGACTCTGAATCCTGTCACCGCCTTCTCTTCCTCGGGCGATCCTCGGCGACCGAGGCGGCGATGGCTCTTGCAGGCCATAACCGAGCCCGGTCCATCCCCTTCGCCTCTGCTTTCCACCCCGTCACCCACGCCTCGCGACATCGCAATTTCGTGTTATTTTACCGCGCGACGGCGCGAGGATTAAAGCGTGGGCTTCTGACGCGCCTTGCGAGGATTAACTCGCGCGTCCCGC